TTCTATATTCGTGAGAGATATTGGTCTGTAATTTTCTTTTTTTTTTTTTTTTTGTGGTCTTTGCCTGGCTTTGTTATCGGGGTTATGCTGGCTTTATAGAGTGAATTCGGGAGTATTCCCTCCTTTTCTGTCTCTGAAATAGTTTGAGTAGTACTGCTGTGAGCTCTTCTCTGAATGTTTGGTAGAATTCTCCAGTGAAGCTGTATGGGCCAGGGCTTTTTTGGGAGTTTTTTTTAAATTACCTCTTCAATCTGTTCTCTTGATATGGGCCTATTCATGTTTTCTATCTCAGTTTGTGTTAGTTTAGATAGGTAGTGTGTTTCTAGAAATTTGTCCATTTCCTCTAGGTTCTCAAATTTCTTGGAGTACAATTTTTTGTAGTATTCTGTTATGAGCCTTTTTATTTCAGCTGGGTCAATTGTAATGTCCCCCATATCATTTCATATTTGGATTATTTTCTTCCTCTTCTGTTTTACTTTTGTCAGTTTGCCAGTTTTGCTGATCTTTTCAAAGAACCAGTTTTTGGTCTGCTTGATTCTTTCTATTGTTTTTCCATTCTCTATTTCATTTATTTCTGCTCTAATCTTTATTTTTCCTTTCTTCTGGTGGCCGTTGGTTTCTTTTGCAATTCTCTGTTTGTTCAAGTTGTAGGGCTAATGTTTCGATGCTGACCTGTTCTTTTTTGATGTGTGTGTTTATTGCTATAAATTGACCTCTGAGCACTGCCTTTGCTGTGTCCCAAAGGTATTAATGTGATGTGTTTTCATTCTTATTTGATTCTAGGAATTTTTTTATTCCCTCTTTAATTTCTCCTATTACCTAGTTGTTTTAAAGCAAGGTGTTATTCAGTTTACATGTATTTGATTCTTATCCTTGCTTTTCCTGTTTTTGATTTCTACCTCTCTGGCATTGTGATCAGAGAGAATGCTTTGTACTATTTCAGTGTTTTGGATTTTATTGAAGGTTGCTTTGTGGCCTAACATATGATCTATTCTGGAGAATGTTCCATGTATGTTGGAGAAGAATGTAACTCTGATGCTGTTGGGTGAAGTGTTCTATATATGTCTGTGAGGTCCAGTTGTTTGATTTTGGCCTTTAAATCTTTTGTATCTCTTTTGAGTTTCTTTCTAGATGTTCTATCCTTTATTGAGAGTGATGAATTAAAGTCTGCTACTATTATTGTGGAAGTGTCTATTTCTCTTTTCAGTGCTGTTAGAGTTTGTTTTATGTGTTTTGGGGCCCTGTCATTGGGTGTGTAGATATTTATTAAGGTCATGTCTTCTGGGTGGATTGTCCCTTTAATCATCATGTAATATCCTTCCTTGTCTTTTATTGTTTATTCTGCCTTAACGTCTATTTTATCTGAGCTTAGTATTGCCACTCCTGACTTTTTATGGTTACCATTTGCTTTATATATATATTGTCCGTCCTTTGATTTTTAATAAATTTATGTCTTTGTGTCTAAGGTGTGTCTCTTGTAGACAACATATTGATGGGTCATGTTTTTTTAATCTGTTTTGCCACTCTCTGTCTCTTTATGGGCTCATTTAAACCATTTACATTCAGTGTGATTACTCATGGGTATGAGTTTATTGCTGTCATATTGTGCTTTTTTTGTGGTGCTGACATTTTCTTTGTTCCTCTTACTCTCCTGTGCTGAGTTCCTTTTGTTTATAGGTTTTCTTTTCTTTCATTATTGTAGATTTTGTTTACTGAGTCATTATGTTTTTCTTCTTTTTTATTTTGATGAGTAGATTTGTTAACTTTCTTTGTGGTTACCTTGATATTTACCCTTTTCTTCGTAAGTTTGAACCAGTCTTTTATTACTTGATATCACCTTGACATCCTCCCCATTTGAAAGTTCTATACCTACACTGTTTATTCCCCCTTTTATTTTTTTGACATTGTCATTTACAGATTGACATGTCTGTTTCCCTGTTTTAAGTCTTTTAGTTTTGTTTTATTATTGAGAGTTCTTTATCTAGGTTGCTATCTGGCTGATGCTGTGCTGTGTCTTGGACACTAGTTGTTCTCTGATGTTGTTGGTTCTCTAACTAGAGGACTCCCTTTAATACTTTTTGTAAGTTTGATGTGATTTTTGCACATTCCCTTAATTCCTGTTTATCTGGAAATGTCCTAATTTCACCATTGTATTTGAGAGAGTTTTGCAGGATATATTATTCTTGGTTGGCAGTTTTTTTCCTTCAAGGTTTTATATATGTCATCCCCACTGCCTTCTTGCGTCCATAGAAGTAATCAGAGTTTAGTCTTGTTTCCCCTTTTTAAGTAACTTTTTGTTTTTCTCTAGCTGCTCTCGGGATTCTTTCTTTGTCTTTGGTTTTGGCAAGTGTGATTATGATGTGTCTTGATGACTTTTAGAGTCTATCCTATATGAGGTTCCTTGAGCTTCTTGGAGGTCAGCTTTTTGTCTTTCATGATATTTGGGAAGTTTTCTGCCAGCAAATTTTCAACAATCTTTTCTGTGTTTTCCATTTTCTCCTCCTGTTCTGGAATAGTTATGAACAAATTTTTGCTCTTGATTATATCCCACATAATTCTTAGGTTTTCTTCATTTTTCTTTATTCCTTTGTCTGATTTTTCTTCCAACAAAGTGGCATCCATGGATTTGTCTTCAGTCTCACTGATTCTGTCTTGAATTGTTTCAAATTTGCTCCTAAAACCTTCATTGAGTTGTCCATTTCTGAATTTTTTTTTTATCTTTTGGATGTCTAGTTGCTGTTTTTGTGTGATTTCTAATTGTTTATTTATTTTGATGTTTTGTTCTTGTATTATTTTCCTGAAATCTTTTATTGCTTTGTCTTTGTTTTCCTTGATTTTGGCTAAGTTTCCATTGGTTTTATGTGTGTTTTCCTCGATCTTTTTCCTTATGTCTTGGAGAGTCCTAAATATTAGTCTTTTGAATTCCATATCAGGTTGTTCCAGTGCCTTTTTGTCTACCGGAAGGTCATCTGATTCTTTAGTTTGGTCATTTCCTGGAGCCATCTTATCCTGCTTTTTTATGTTTTGATATTATCTGCTGTCTCCTAGACATTAAGGTATTATTTTCTTTATTTATTGATTGTATGTTTGTTTCATCCTGCTTTTTTGTTTTGTTTTGATATGTCAGTGTAGGCAGGCCAGGCGTGTTTTGCTGCTTACTCACCTGTGGGCATGATAGTTCTCACCACCTTGTCTCGGTGGGCAGGGCAGCAACAGGCAGAGCGAGCCTGCTTCACTGTACACTGTTCTGGCAAGGTGGCTGAGGGCAGACTGGGTGGGCTCTGTCTGCCTCCTGCTGTTGGTCTATTGTTGTGAGAGCTTTCCCAGCCCCTCACCAGATAGGTGGTGGTGTCAGATGGGGAGTGCTACGGGCGTGCTTCCCACTGTTCAGCAACAGGTCAAGTGACTGGAGGGGGAACAGTGCAGGCCTGGTGTGGTAGCTAGCCTGAGCACCGGGAGTCCTCTAGCTGAAGCAGCACATCGGGGCTGGTTGGAAGGGGGGCTTGCATACAGGGCTAGGTGGGGGGGGGGGGCGGGGAGAAAGATTTTTTAAAAAAGTAGCTGATGTGTGGGGGCTGGGCAGACCTGGGGGCTAACAGGAAATGGGGGGAGGTGGCATATGAGGCTAGGTGGGAGGTAGAAAGAAAAGAAAAAGAAATAAGTAATGGTGCGATCGGGGTGGAGTGGATCCAGGGCACTGGCAGCAGACCAGTTGCTTTCTATCCATGAGGCGTGGCGGGGTTCAGTGGCATGGCATGGAGGTGGCATACTGGGCTAGGTCCACGGGAGAAGGAAAAGGAAGAGAGACAAAGGAAAAAACATTAAAAAAAAAAACTGGCAGTGCAGTGGGGGCCAGCAAGTGGGTGGACCCAAGGGCCATGTGGAAGGGAAGGGATGTGATGTGTGGAGTTAGGTGGGAGGGAGAAAGAAAGGAAAGAAGAGAGAGAAACAAAAGCAAAAAAGAGAGAAAGAAAACAGTGGCGGGTGGGGGTGGGATGGACCTGGGGCAGCCATGGGCTGGTGGCTTTCTAGCTGAAGCAGCAAGACATGGCCCAGTAGGATGGGGTAGAAGTGGCATATGGGGCTAGGTAGAAGGAAGTAAGAAAAAGAAAACAGAAAAAAGAAAAAAATTTGTGACATGGCAGGAGCCAGTGGGTGTGGGCTGGGCAGACCCAGGGGGGCCGTGTGCTGGTGGCTCTCTCGCTATGCAGTGCAGCCCGTTGAGAAGGAATAAAGGCACATGGGGCTAGGTGGGCGGGAGAAAGAAAAGGAAGGGAAAGAGAGAGAAAAAATATATATGGCTCTGCAGGAGATAGTCGGTGTGGGCAGGGCGGACCCAGGGTTGTGGTGAGCTGATGCCTCTCTAGCCAAACAGCACAGCATGGCCTGTCAGGAACGGGCGAAGGCTGCACAGAGGGCAAGGTGGGAGGGAGAAACAAAAGGAAGAAAGGGAAAGAGGAAAAAAAAAATGGCACTGAGGGAATCAGCCGGTCTGGGCAGGGCAGACCCGAGGCAGCAGTGAGCTGGTGTCTCTCCGGCTGAGCAGCTGTGGCCCATTGGGAAGCAGGGGAGCAGCATACAGAGCAGAAGGGAGAGGGGTGGGGAAGCATGTTTCTCTGGTTACCAAGTGCTGTGTCTCCTGTTGGGAGCTCCTTGAAGTTGCTTTCTCGTACTCCCTGTCTGGGGTTGTTGCCAGCTGTGCTCCAAGATGGCAAAGCTGTGCTGCGTTAGCTAGTAGAGGATGTCCACTCCATAGCCCTCCTCATTCTGTCAGTTTCTTCTTCCATTTTGTGTTTGATTGAGTTCTTTGTCCCTTACTTTGATGTTTAGGGTTCCAGGATTGACGTTTGTATCTGTTTTACTTAGTTTTTTGGTTTTTTGCTGCAGAGGGATGGTATGATACATCTATCTATAGTGCCATGTTGGCTCCACCTCCTTAAATCTGGCTCTTTTATTCCAATGTTACATTTAGTTGATTTCTCCCGTTATTTTTCTTGTAGGTGTATTCGACACAAAAATGATTGGGGAGCACTCATACTAGTGGATGATCGCTTCAGAAGTAACCCAGGTCGCTATATATCTGGTAAGAGTCTTAGCTGGGATTATAGTATGAACTAGTAATAATCTTTGGTATTTAATGGTTTCTATTTTTAATACAGAGAATTGGAATTACTAGATCAGATGTGAAAAATTTACATTAACTGTATATCTAGCTTTTCACGCTTATGTATTTACAAGAAGTTTTTATAGGAAAAGTTCTGGTTACTTAGCAACATAGTATTAAATCAGTTAAGATCCTTCAGTTTTATGGAATGTGGGATATGGTACAGTTACACAGTAATACTTAAATTTTTTAGCATTGCCAAGGAAAAAAGTTGTTCCACAGAAATGAAATTTCCAAAAACTTTGAAGTTTTTACATTTAAGCACACAGGCACGTGTCTTTTGGCTGCTTAAGGATTCCTTATTCCTTCGTTCTCTGTTATGTGAAGTGCCCTAGTGGTACAGTGGTTAACATTTATTGTGTTTATTTTTTTGTTTGTTTAGAGATACATCAGTTGTTTTCGAAGTTATGTTGATCAGTGCTAGTATTTTCTGAAAGAAAAGAAAGCACTACTGCATGTAGTAAGATCAAGTAGATGGTCAGGTTTTTTCCTACTCAAATCAACAAATATTATGTACCTGTGGTTTTTATCCAGCAAGTAACACAGTCCCTTCGGAGTTGATACCAGGAATCCATCTGTTGTCAAAGAGCCGAAGGATATACTTGCATCTTTACTATTACCTTTGAAGATAAAAAGTTCATACTGCACTATTATGAAGAGATGCTAACTTTTAAATTTGTTTCAGATAGCTATCTATGGATATGGACTCTACCTTTTCCATTTCAGAGTGTAATTGCTATATTTGACTTGATATTAAAACATTGCAATCTGGATTAAACCAGAAAATATTGTTTTATTTGACCCCTGCTCCTTTCCATATAAAGCAAGGAACTGAGCTTAAATCAAGGTATAACTAAAGGCAAAAATGTTAAGTGCTCATATTTAATCAGCAGGTGGAGCTGTATCTACTTTCAAGTTTTCAAAAGCAAACAATGACTTTTTGTACTTAAATGGCTTTCTTTGATAACAAAAAGGTAGAAATGAAAAGGTAAATATAATGCTAAAACTTTTTTTCTATTTTAGAGAATTTCACATTTTTATTTGGTGTAATTATTTCCCCCAAGCAAACAAAAATAAAGAACTTTAAAGGAAATGCTTATTTTAAATTTTTTTCTCTTACTTAAAAGTCTAGGACTTAAATTTTTACCTCATGGTTCAAATTTATTGAGAGGTCTATTGAAATAAATAATTTACATGATATCTATGCTTTTTACGTGTTTTTTCTGATACTCATAAATTGTAAGATGTTTTATTTTGTTAGTACTAGCATAGCAACATATAAATTCCTTTTGATGACTCATTTTTGTTTAAATTTAATTTGCATAAATATAGATTGATAGAAAAAGTCTATTTTAAAAAATACTGAAGGAATACATTTGAAATGAAAATATAGTAGCTAAAATTGCTTGAAGTTCTGATTTATCTTTCTCTAAACTTACAATACTATCGTGACTTTTAAAACTACCCCCAGATGATGATAGTTTTAGTACCATCAATAGGAAATATTTATTTTATAAAAAACCAAATAACTGATTCTGAGTTTCAATTTAAAGTGAACCATACTACAAAACATCCTACAGTCTTAATATGGTTCATTTTTATGTAGTTTTCATATGTCACAAGTCAAATTATGTCTCTTACAACTTGATTATTTCTATATTAAAAAACATAATAAAAGATCAGAATAGGATATGATTTGCCCATAAAACACTGTTATTTTTTTCACCTCGCAGGACAGTTTAAGATATGTTTGAAATTTGAAGGGAAAAAAAAACACTAGAAAACTCTGAGATTGGAATGTTAAATTTATTTTTGTAACAGGAACCAAATTTGGAAAGTTGGGATGGAAGGTTGTATTGTTTAGAAATTCTAGTTTTTCTCCCAAAAAAAAGAGAGGCAGTTTTTTTATGGGAAATAATGATGGAATTAAATTTGCCATATTCCTTAGTTATTCTCAAGGGTAGAATACTGTGTTTCCCTCTCCTCTTCTCCCACTGCCCCTTCTCTCCCTTCAGTTGTCAATCACTGCATATAAAGATAAATGCAACTGATATAGGAGCATATTGTACATATAAAGGTTAAAAAAGCAGGAAAAATACTGAGAACTATTCTATATTCTATAAATGCAAAGTAGATTATTTTATTGGAAAATTTATCTAAGTTTTAATACCTAACACCTAATATCTTAATAACTAAGTAACCAAATTGCCCTCCCTGATTTTACTTTTCTCCTTAGGACTTTCTAAATGGGTACGGCAACAGATTCAGCACCATTCAACATTTGAAAGTGCACTGGAGTCCTTGACTGAATTTTCCAAAAAGCATCTAAAGGTCATTGATGTATCCATACAGGACAGAGAGTCTATACAGGACAATGAGTGTATACTTGAAGTGGCCTGTTTGAAGGACAACACCCCAACTTCTTTTTTGGAAGTAGAAAGTCATCTGTCACCAGAAAATCCTAGGAAAGATGATGCAAAAATGTGTGTTCAGGAGCTTCAGTGTCCTAAAATGATAACTAAAAATTCATCTCCACCAAATGGCATCATCTCCAGAAAGGAGAAAAGTATGAAATGTTCTAACCATTTACATTTTATAGAAAAGTCTTTTGTTATTTTTAGTGAAATGATACTTATTTCGGTGTAGTTTAATTCCCTTAAATATGTTGTTTTGTAATATAAGGTGTTATCATAAAATAATGAAGGAGTATGGTGCATTGGAATGGGAACTAAGTTTTGTCAGGAGACTTGAGTGTATTTTCTGATTTGTCACTAACTAGCTTTGTGACCATAAGCAAGTCACTTAACCTTTTTAGAGTCTTGAAAGAAGCAGTAATACCTGCATAGCTATCCCTCCAGGTCGTGAAAATCAAATAAAATAACAGATATGACAGTACTCTACAGATGGTAGGTGTTTTTCTAAAGGCTATATAAAACATTGGCCTAATTTATAGATACTTCTCTTGCATGAATTTCTTAATTCAAGGAGGTGAGAGTGACTTACTAAATGATAAAAATATATATATATATATTTCAAAATCTATTAGAATATAATGGTCTATATCTGTGGGTGGCTAACTATGGCACATAGACCAAATTCAGCCTGCTGTCTGTTTTTGTAAATACAGTTTTATTGGAACACAGCCACATCCATTCATTTATATATTGCACAGAAGAACAGAATTGAGTAGTTGTACATATTGCACTTGAACAATAGAATTGAGTAGCTGCAACACAGAGAACATGGCCTGTCACAAAGCCTGTATCTACTGTCTGGCCCTTTACAGAAAAGATTGCCAACCACTGGTCTGTATCATTGAATATAATTTTAATTGTTTTAATTCATATATCATGGTAGCTTACTATATCAATTTTTAAATATTTATTTTGTAGTATATGTTTCTATCCTAAATAAATGTCATAGTGAATTCAAAGCCATTATATTGATAGGAAACCTAGATTATAGTCCTGGTCTGACTACTAACCAGTTTTATAATTTTGAGCAAATAACTTAGCCTTTCTGGTTGTCCTTTTCCTTATTTATTAAATAAGAAAAATTAATCTGGGTCAGATTTTCTCTATCACTGTTATTGAATTTTCCAGGCAGATTATTATAGCCTATTGTCTCCTTTTTTGGAGCCTTGGTGGTACAGTGGATAAGAGCTCGGCTGCTAATCCAAAAGGTCAGCAGTTAGAATCCACCAGCTGCTACTTGAAAACCCTATGGGGCAGTTCTACCCTGTCTTATAGGGTCACTATGAGTCGCAATTGACTCAACGGCAGCGGGTTTATTTATTCTATCCTTTATTCTGCCTTCTTCCTCTTCCTGATTACCCACATTTTCTTATTTAAGCCTTAGGTCCCTGGTGTGGAATTTGATAGTTTGCCAGACAGCATTATATTATTGAGCTAGGAAATGTAGGAGTTCTAATATTCCTTTTAGAGTTAGCATTCTGGGCTTTAAGTTCTAAGATAGAAGTCTTGTTACTACTGATTGTGGGGTCTACATTATGTATCCTATAGAGTTATTTAAGTATTTCTAATAAATAATCATTGTAATATAACAGTTATTCTGTTGGCTAGGGACAGGATTAAAAGCTTTTGCATTTTTGTATTCATAGATGATCCAGTATTTTTGGAAGAATCTGTCCAGGCAATGAAAGGAGAAAACAAGGTGATTTCCAGATCCACAAGCCCAACCTTCAGCAAACAAGCAAACAGAGTTAGTTGGTCTAGCTTTCATTCTTTTGGACAGTATTTTACTGGTAAAATACTGACTGCAACACCTGAGCTCAGGACATCAGAGGACTGTAACTTTAGTACTTCTACTGTCAAAATAGAAAAGATGGAAAGTAAAACTGTTTTGCCACTCACTGATAAATGTGAGTCCTCATCTCTGACAGTAAACACATCACTTGAGCCATGCCCTCAATCGGAAATCATAGTTTCACCAATAAAGATTGATTTTGCTCTTACTGAAAAAAATCATCCAAAACAGCTGCTCTGCTGTGAAAAAACGCTGAATCCGGACATTGAAATGTCTCTAGTAAGTGAAGAAACTAAACTTTCCACTTCAAATAGATCCTTTGAAACAGAAGCAGAAGATGAATCTATCTACTTTACACCTGAACTTTATGATCCTGTAGATACAGATGAAGAGAAAAATGAACTAGTTGAAACTGATAGAGGCAATAGACTGGCTAATATAAATTACATTTTAGCAGAGGACCTTTTTGAAAATAAAACTATGAAAGGAGTGGATTCAGTCAGTGAAATGAAAGCTGAGGATTGCACACATACAAAATTGAATAGAATCATACATACTGAAGAAAGTAAAATTGACAGCATTGATGATAATATAAAAACAACTAATATAAATGAGTTGGATCTTGGAAAAACTCATGAAACAGATATAAAGAACTTTAAACAGTCTCCTTCCAAAAATAAAGGTGCGTTCCTTGTGTTAGGTAGCGGTACTTAACTCTCAAGCTATAAAAATATGTTATCATGCTTATATATTAAACTCTATTATAAATAATAATTTGTACATTGGGTAAGTGGTTTATGTTTTTTTAAATTTGAGAGATATTTTTCATTTTAATTCATTGTCATCAGATTTTCAAGTCTATTTTATATTTAGAAATGTAAGTTTTACTATTCTCGAGTTTTGATAAAGTGATTTATGCAAAATATTTTCTTCCAACAAGTCTTCCTTAGTAAATGCAATATAAAATTAATCCATCTGAAAGATATTTAGTGTTTCCTAGGGCAGTGTAGATGTCACATAAGTGTTGTATTTTGTAGTCCCCTTCATCCATTTGTTTTCACACATATATAAAAATTAAAAGTCTAACCTAGTCATACTTCAGCCATGCTTCATGTAGATTTTACTGCACATCAGTCTGAATGTTTTTAGAAATCAAACTTTGTCTTGAAAAGTTTATTTCCCTATTAACCTTGCCTATTTATAAATAACAAGAAAACTTAAGGAAGTAAACAGCATGCTTTTTTTTAGTTCTTTTTTTACATTTTTTGTTTGATAAATCAAAATCAAGCATGTTGTAAACAAATTTATGTAAAGTTATAAAGTGCCAAACGAAGGACTCCAAATTTTTTATTCTAATTATTTAGCCTTGTCATTGTGGGGGAAAAAAATGACATGTTCTGGTATAAAGGCTTTAGTTATGCCACTGTTGAGATACAAAATTTTATATATAAATTTGATAAGCAAACCCAATTATATAACTGCAACTGAATACATTCCCTTATAGCATAGCAAGTATTTCTCTGAATTTTGGCTCTGCTTGTATTTTTGTGAATGAAGCTATACTTCTGATTATAATGTTTATAAAAGATGCTCTTTTCTGATATCATTCTGTAAGTACATTCACTGATCTTTTTCTGAGTAGCATCTTGTTATTCTATGGATATTTAGGTGTCTTGTGAGTTATTTGAATTGAAATTTTATGAGCTGTTTAAGTTGTGTGTGTGGTCTATTATTTTCAAGCCAGAATTGCCCGTAATCAGATATTTTTTACATTCATTCACATAAAAAGAATTCTTATATAGACATATGTTTACTTTTACTTTGATGACATTTAGTTTTAATACAGCTTGTTTCTATGGCATATGGATGTTACAACTCTAAGCATAATTCAGTGAAATTTAAATTGATTATTTGTCAATTAAAGAATTCATCTATACCTTGGGATATGTTAGATCCCACCTAGTGTTAGATATTTTTCTTAGTTGATAGATGAGTAATAAGTTAAAAGCACTAGATTAGAAAGTAATTTCTAAATTGTTTTGAAAGGGTGCAACCACTTCCCCCTTTGGTATTATTCTTATAACACAGATAAGGGTAATATGATAGTGGAAAGATTACCAGGTGAAAATCAAGAGACTTAGGCTCTATTCCTGGCTCTGCCACTAATTTGCTAAGTAATGTTGGCAATCACCATGGGAATTAGTTTCATCTGTGAAGTACAGCATTTAGTACTATAAAGTCATGCAAATCTGTTTCAGCTTTAAAATTCCATAATTTAAAGAAAGATTTGTTCATATCATATTGAGTCAATTTTCATTTGTTTTTATTCTGTAATGCTTAAAATAAAGCATACCATTTTGTAGAAAAAGTGAAATGACTTTCTGCCTTTAGGGAACAGTTATATGAATAGGTACATAATAACTTCAGAAACTAGGTATTTATTTTAACAGTGCTGCAAGTAAAACATTTTTGAGATTTTTAAAATTACCTTTTGAAGAATTGGTAAACTACATGAAAAAATCAAGCACATTATTTTATAGTCTCATTTCAGTGTTATTAACTAGATATGATTTTTTATTTCTTTCTGAAATCAAATTCTCTCAGAGACTAAAAATTTCCATTACTGAAAACGTGCATAGAGATGTGCCACAGGCTTCAAAAATAATTCCAAAAGGTGTTTCAAAAATTTCGTGCGATGGTAACACCATTGAAACAGGTGTGTAATCTCCTCAGGTCATGACTTTGACCAGGATAATATTATAAGAAGTAAACTACTGGCTTATCTAGAGTAGAGGTGGACCATTTTCATTAGTTGTAACATGCTTTGTAAGAGTTGTTTTAGAGAGTTAAGTAAGTTAAAACAAGTAAAAGCATTTAAAAAAATACCTGACACATGGCTAGCTGTCAATTATTAGTTAATCAATCCCGTTTGGATATCAGAGTGCACCCTTGCTTTGTATGAAGCTTTCCCTAACTCATAGATAGATAAATAGGTAGGTAGGTCAGTAGATAGATAGGTGGCTAGGTAGATAAGTAGATGGGTAGATAAACTGATTATAAAGAATTGATGTGTAGTAGAAAGGAATATTATTTGGCTGGTTTATTTTTTAAGGTTTTATTTTGAGATGTATAAAACAGAAATTGTTTTTCAGATAATTTGTTTTACACATTCAGTGTATATGAAATAATATGATACTGAATTTATTCAAGGGCTGAAAGTATATAGAACATACAGGCCACGAACCAGGAAAACTACCATTTGGAGAAAGGGCTTTAATCATGGAAGAAAGGTACAATGTAAAGAGTAGATGTTTCATGACTTGACATTTGAATTCTAGGTGAATCATTTAAAACTTTTAGAATTGTGTTGGAAATTAATGACAGCTCTTAGTATGGTACTACTATGTATTTAATTATTACATGGTTTTAAATTTAGCACTATTTCTAAGTTCACATAAGGCTTTGTTTTTATTCTTCCTTATAATTTTACTATTCTAAACACTTTTAAAATGCTTCTCATATTATTTTTCTCAGTATGACTGTCACGTTATTTTTCTATAATAAAACATTCAAAATATTAATTTTAAGACTACTTATAAAACTGCTTCATAAAATCAAAGTGCCTGCTATAAAATAACTTGAAAGACTGCTTATTGGTTATATAGTCATTTAATCTCTAAGTGATAGCATTCTTTTTGTATTTGGTTACCACACAATTATTCTTTTTAATCTCAGATTTCTCAGTGAGATACACAAGATTTTACTTTAACCTTTATGAATTCTGGTAGTTTCTTGTCTACTCCTATAGGTAAATCCAGTCAATCTTTTGTAAATAGAAAGGCAGCTTTAATACTAAAAAGTTTCATAATAAAAAAAGCTTAAGACCATATTAAATGTCTAAGAAAGCAAAAACACTTAACATAAAATATTTTTAAAAAAAAATACCACTTCTGTCAACATGGCACTCTAGGCAGAAGCACCACACCGTCCCTCCACAGCGAAGATTGTAAAAACTAAACCAAACAGAGAAAACAGCAATCCTGAAACCCTAAGCATCAAATGAAGAGAAAAAGAACTCAGCCAAGCACCAAATGGAATAAGAAACTGACAGAGAACAGAGAGCGAGGAGACATACATGCAGGAGGTCCCCTATCAGCTAATGCAGCACGGATCCGCCATCTTGGACTCCTATCAGAGACCAGCAAACAGGGGCTACAAGAAAGCAGCTTCACGGAGCTTCCAGCTGGAGACAGAATACCCGGTAACCAGCAATATACGCTTTCCCACCCCTCACCATTCTTTACCCCCACTCAGCCTCCTCTGCTTCCTGCGACCACAGTCTCTTGGCCAGGAAGCACCAGCTGCTTGGATTCCACCCACCCGCACTGGCCGACTCCCTGAGTGCCATCTGTTGGCTGCTGGTGTTGCTTTTTTCTGCTTCTGCTGATTTCTTCCTTACCTCTCACCACCTCCCCCGCTTTCTCTCAAATACCTGAATCCGTGCGCCATTTTTGCTTCTTCCTGAAAGGCTGTGAATGAAACTGCTCGAATGTGAAACTGCTTCCTGGTCTGTGCTGCCACGCTGGTGGCATCCTGGGGCTTTTGTTTGTTTGTTTTGAATTCTTTGTTTTGTTTTTCTTTTCTCGAATTGGGAGCCCGTTCTAGCTGGGCAGTACTGCATGGCTTGGGACCTACCCCCTCAGCTTGTGCGAATGCACAGAGGAATCCCTGAGGGCATTTCTTTTTTTGTTTTTTCTGTTTTTGGGGAGGTTTTTCTTGTTCTTTTTTTTTAATTTGTTTTGTTTTCTTTTCCCTCTTTTTCCCTTTTTATCTTTCATTACTCAGTTTCTCATCTTTCTATACCTTCCTTCTCTTTCTGTCCCATGAATACCTGGCAATGGGTGACACCTCTACGCCTTCTAGCCAGGCTGTACTTCAACACCTGGGAACAACTTCCCCAGACCTCATAGCCATACCGGTGGGATGCCTGGGAGCTTTGCTTTTCATCTTTCTTTCTAATTTTTATTTATTCATTCTTTTCCTTTTTTTTCTTCTTCTTCCCCTTTTTGTTTTTCTCCATTTCATAGTCTCTCATCTCTCCATTCCAATGGCAAGCTCCCCAGCACTCCTTTTGGCCTCTGTTCCTCTCTCATCTCTCCCGTACCCATCTTATCTCCATGCATCACTATCTCCCCCCTCCATCCTACCTACGTGCACTGTGCACTTAAAATCACACCACCAAGCAGCACAGGCACAGCCTCCTGGAAACTGCCCTGCACTGATTACTGGCCCGCCCTGGTGGCTGTAGTAAGTGCCACAAACAACCCAGCCCAGAAACTCCTCTTCAGCTAGACCTGCCCTGCTGTACCATATCTGAGTGACTGACCCTGCCAATTGGAAAAGGAAGCAAAAAGTATCGTGCCCACAGATGAGCAAACAACAAAGAACACACAGCCCGCCTATTCAGACAGCCAGATTTTAAAAAAAGGACAAAACAAACAAATCTACGATCAATAAATGAGAGAAATAACCACTGAATGCCCCAAAGACAGAAGACAATATCAAAACATTTACAAAAACAGGACAGGATGGTTCCACTAGGCGTCCAAACTAAAACACCAGATGACTTTCCAGTTGAAGAAAAGGTATTAGAACTACCTGATAGGGAATTCAAATCTCTATTACTCAGAATTATCCAAGAGTTGAAGCAAAAACCAGACAAAAATGAGGAAAAAATAGACAAATTCATGGAAAATACAGACTAAAAAATGGAAGAATTCAGGAAAATAACGCAGGAACAAAATGCCAAAATAAATTCACAACTAGAAATTATACAAAAGCAACAATTAGTAATCCAAAAGATAAACAACAAGATTTCAGAAATGGACAGTGTCATAGAAGGGCTGAGGAGCAGATTTGAAATGGTGGAAGACAGCATCAGCAGTGGAAGACAAACACTTGGATACAACTCTGTTCAAGGAAAACTCAGAAAAAAGAACAAAGAAAAATGAAGAGACCCTGAGAATTATGTGGGATACAATCAAAAGCAAAAATTTGTGAATGATTGGAGTTCCAGAACGGGGAGAAAACAGAAAACACAGAGAGGATTATTGAAGAACTGCTGACAGAAAACTTCCCCAATATCATGAAAGATGAAAAGCTGGCCATCCAAGAAGCTCAACGAACCCCATATAGGAT